AAACTTGATTGATGACTAAAAAAAAGAATATTTGCAACTCATGAATTATTGAACTTATTCAAAAAAAAAATTATACAATTTAAGAAGTACAACAATCATTGGAGACTTAGTAGCGTAAACAAGAATTGAATTTGCATATAGAAAAAGTGTTATTTAGGAAAATGAGAGAATTTTTAGTATGATTAATGGCTAAAAAAAATATGAGTCTTCAGTTTAATATATTAGGATGTAATATAAAACATTTAGCAAAAATGTATGAGTTCAGTAGAGAGAATGTCAAGATTAGTTTAACTTGGGTTAGTTTGAGCTGATTAAGAAAATCATAAAAATATTTAGACTTTTTAAGTGGTGTCAAAAGGAATAATTTATGGTGGGTGGCTATCTTAGTATGTTAATTTTCAATATGAAGTGGATGGTAAGAAAGTGATCCTTTAGAGAGTTATCGTGGAATGAAGACCAATATTAGTTTAAACTAGTTAGTTTAAGTTGATTTATAAGATCTATTATGGAAGATGTTTGAATAGGTTTTGAATGATCTAATAGAAAGAAAATGATTAACGATGAGGATTATTTTATAATGTAAATTTATGATCCAAAATAAGTGGAGTTTGATGAGATTTAAGGCCATATAATAGTGTAGATAACATGCCTAAATTGTTGTCCACTTAAGCTTGGTTGATAATTATAAAAAAGACGTTGGACCGAGTTTTAAAGACTAGGGTGGTGGATGCCTAAGTTTAGATGTTGATTAAAATGTAGAGAGATGCGTGAGGATGATTAAGAAGATGTGGTAAGAAGGTTGTCAAATAACAGTAATATAAACAATCAATTACATCAAATAAATGTCAAGTGATGAGGCCGTCAAGCACTAACACAAAGCGAAAAAAAATCTCTAATATGATTTTGTCATTCTTAACTTAAAAATATTTTATTGCATGCTAGCACAGTTTTGTGTATTTATAATGTCATTTAAACCATTTTGATTTAAAAAAAAATTAACGAAATTGAGGCAGGTGATCATTAATGGAGAAAAGCGTCAACCATCTTCATTAAGTCATTCTATATTCCATTATTTATTAATTGCCCCAAGCCTATACTTATTCTTCTAAATAAAAACTTAGAATTCGAAGTCATGTCTCCAAAATATACATATTTAAGCTCAAAACTTAGTTATAGATGGGCCTTAGTTGAGCTCTTCTTCCAGCATATTATTGAGACCATGCTTATGTTCATAAAATTTGATCTTAAATTTCATTTTCTTAATCCAAATGATGTGATATGTTACTTCTAAGGATTTAATAGTCGGCTAGGCCTTGATCACCTAGCTTGGCCAAGAAGGAGAGGAGATGAACATAATAGAATTACAAGACAAAGATGTCTTCAATTCCTCATCAAATTGCATGCTTCAAATAATTTGCTGACAGCATAATATATTTTATGGGTTAAAATTTGTAAAAAAATGGTTAAAGGAATCATAGGTTGTCTTGTGGCTCTATATCTACTTTCTCTTAGGGAGTATATTGCATGCTTTACTAAAATATTGTTCTTCATTTTTCTCAATCCGGGAATTTTGAGAGTTGTGAAAGAGCTCAAAAGCATTGGTTATCTCATTTGATCCTTTAGGGTCTTGACAATGAATTCTTTTCATTTGGCAGTCTTAATTTTTAGGGTTTAGGATGATCGAGTTCTTCAAAACGAGACTAATAAATAGTCTTAGCAGTTGTTTGGCATCAATTTCATCTTATTTTTCTTTTTTACTTTTTTTTAATAAAAATTAATTATAATACTTCTAATCATTTTTATTTTTATGTGCTCAATAAATCAAATAACCACAATCATAACTGTCACCAACCCAGGTCAATGTCATAGATAGACACCGATGCCCACTGCTGCTAACAATCAGGTGCAACTTACAATGATCACCATCTCCATCACACCACCACAACCATTAGTGGTTGTTGTTAATTGGCACCACCATGACATATATCATCATATTCAATACTAGATGAAATAAAAATAGCTTATATTATTAAAAATTCACACACAAATTAAAGATAAAAATAAAAAGTACTAATTATATTTTATTTCATATCACATTATAAATAAACTAAAGTACAAATAAAAATACAAGATGATTCGAAACGACCCTAATTTATGTGTTGAAAAGAATTAAAAATAATAGAAAAAATAAGTTCAACATTCGCACTTCACCTAAGTTCGGACCGGAGAAAAGGGGATGAATCTCGGCCTATTGGGTTGTTAGTTTCTACGCGAGCCACTATGCATCCAACTTAAGATCGGAGAAAAGGGGATGAAGCTCGGCCCATTGGGCTTGTTTGATCTCCACACAATCGTCTTAATTTTTTTAAAAATGCTATCTGGATATCATTGACAAAATTATTAAAAGTGATTTTACCAGCACTCAAAATATTAAAATTTATATCTTCAACACATAAATTTTCATTAATTATACATCTAACACTTAAAACATCAAAATAGGAGAAAGTAAAAATAAAATTTATGTATTGAATGTGTAAATCCTAATATTTTGAGTATTATATATGTAAACCTCCCAACTTAAAACATCATATATCCATAATTTGAGAAATTTACAGACATACAATTCTTATGTTTTTACATATCTAACGCTAAAAGTTTGATATTTACATTTATTGTGCATAAAGTTAGTGTCATAAATCTATGCATCAAAGACATTTTCATATTTAAAAAGTTAATAGTAATGATTTTTTTTTATTTGAATGATACGATAGTTTAGATATGCAGATACTTAATCATTTATCTATCTAAAACAGGTAGGTTAACATCATTGGTATTTGAGGGATGATAAAAACATGAACTTTGATCGAGCTTTAATTTATCTTTTGAAATATTAATTTCAAATTTAATTTAATAAAAGAACCCAAAATATTATGTCTACCTTGAAATCATGTCAATATAACCATTCTTGATTGAGAATGCTCGAGATAATTAATTATAAAAATCTGTCTTGCTGTGAAGTTTATACTAGACTTCTAATTTAGAAGACAGGGCAACTATACGCACTTCGAGCAAATCAGTTGTTTGAGTTGGTGTTCATGTTTGCCTCCTCATCATGTGTGACAACCTAGACTCTTACCCATCAAAGTATTGTCCGCTTTGGTGAAATGGCTTCAAGACTTGGCCCTGTTTTTGTAACTTCCCAATAGTTCACTCATCTTAGGAGTGTTCTAATGTGAGAACACTTAACTTTCTATTTTATAATGAAATTCCACCGTTACAACAAAAGGAGCCTCAAAGTTTAAGAGTTCATCTATATAATGGTTTTCACAACCTCCGCAAGAAAGGTCGTAGGTCGTGGAGGCTAGAGTTGGGGTTTGCATTGGTTTTGGACCATGTATGTTGTAGTTGTTCACGAAGCTTGTAATAGTGAGTCACAATAACATTTGTAAGCGAAAGATGTTGGAGTTGGGGTTTGCACAAGCTGTGACCATATAAATTGTGATTGATTACGTAGGTCGTATTAGTTTTAGTTGATCGCCAAGTTAGTAGTAAAAGGTCACTGTTGCGGTGAACAACATAGGTCGTATTAGGAGCTGTGAACAAAAGACTTCAAGAGTCGTATGTTAGGTACGTTGTTGCATCATATTCAGGATGCATTATTGCCTCCTCACATTGATTCTAAGGAGATCTAATAATCTAGAAGAAAAGTGTATATCAAGATGCAAGGATGGTCTACTAATAGAAGACCGTGAGGTCCACATGTTCGACCGAGTGAAGATATCCAAGCAAACCCTGAAATACCAAAGACCGAATCATGAGACAAAGCAAACGCTACCTGAGGAGAAATGAATAGGTCCACTGACGAAAAACCGTGAGGTCCACAAGTTTGATCGAGTGTAGATATCTGAGCAAAGTCTTCAATACCAAAGACTGAATCACGAGAAAACAAAAAACAACATGAGAATATAAGAAAGGGTCGTTTAGACAAAAATGAGACACAATGACATCCAAGCCAATAATCTTAGGAGAGTTGATTCCAAGAAAATTCAATTTCTTAGCATGTCCAACCATTTCAAGAATGCTTAAAGGCTCTTAATCATGGGTCAACGATAAACTGCAAAGTCGTATCAAACTGACCGACTCATATCATCCAAAGATCAGTCAATGTGATCTCATCTAACCAAGCAAATGCCAGACGATCAAGCTGAGCCTTCCCCAAAAAAAAATGTCGAGCCTTACCGATTTGAAGTCAATTGAGCTTAGTTGACTGGCCCCACGTGCTATTGACCGATCAACACATACATGTAAAATACCAAGAATACCCTACACAACCCTCTTTAAAGCATGGGCAACAATATAACATCATCACATCGTATTATCTTCTCTCTATAAATAATGAGATCACTTTATGAATAAAACATGATTAATATGACATATTATTGTTTGCTCCTCTCCTTGTTTATCTTTATTTTTGTTTTAGCTCTATTTTTTAAGTGTGATTCATAGACAAATAGATGTTCAACAGTGTGACATATTATTGTTTACTCCTCTCCCTATATATATATATAGTGGCGGGGTCACTGTAAGTCCCCTCAAGTTTGGGGTTCGATCTCTGGCATGGGATCTCATCATAGAGCATAGCGCATGAGAAATCAATATTTTGGCCTCTGTCAAATGTCGATTTCCTATGTATGTGTGTGTGTGTGTGTGTGTGGCGGGGGGGCACGTGACTTAGCCCGGTTCATTGGTTGCGGTCTTTGGTGTAAGTCCCTCAAATTGGGGGTTCGATCTCTGTATAGGAACAAATTGCACACATTTCTGGAATGATGGTCCGCCTCTTGGTTACACTATGGGGTTGATCGGAGATCAAATTTTTTAACAATATATTTATCTACGTGTAGAGAGAGAGAGAGAGAGAGAGAGAGAGAGAGAGAGAGAGAGAGAGAGAGAGAGAGAGAATTTAGAATAAAACTTCTAAATGCTTAATTTTTTCCCAACAATTAGTTAATGTTGCAAAGACTTCTCTCTCCCATAGTTTTCCATATACAATTAAGATTCATTCCACAGTAATTACATATGTTGAACGATAACGTCACCTACATTGACCTACACCTCAACATAATGATTACCGTTCCCTCTCTCAACAGCTTCCACCTCGGCAACCATGGGCGCCGCCGGCGAGTATTTCTTAACTCCGGCGGCCGCCCAATCGCATGCGCTGAGAATCACGTATACACTGATTCCACCAATAAGCCCGTACGCAATGGAGTATGTAAGCGGCATCAATATTAGCGTTACGAACGCTGGAATGCCCTGTTTCATATCCCCCCATTCGATCTCCCTCACCGCCTTCATCATCATCACCCCCACCAGTATCAGCGCAGGACCCACCGCCCATGGAGGTATCGACGCCAGCAACGGCGTCACGAACAGCGACAGAACAAAGTACGCCGCAACAGTGAGCGCCGTCACCCCTGTTCTTCCTCCTTCCCGAATCCCCGTCGACGATTCTATGAACGCCGTCACTGGAGACGTCCCGAGAAGCGAGCCAGCGATGATCGCTGTGGCGTCCGACATGAAGGCGAAATACTGCCCTTCGAATTCCCCCTTTTCGTCGACGAATCCGGCGAACTGCGCCATGGAGTGCAGAGTGCCGGTGGTGTCGAGGATATCAACATAAAGAAATGTGAACAGTGCTTCCCAGAAGCGGCCGCGAGTAATGTCGGAGAAGCTGAGGGTGCCGGCGGTGGAACGAATGGGGTGAAAGTCGACGACTTTTTTAAAATAGGCGTAGGATTCGTTGCCGGAGGGGGTGTCCGGGAAAACGGTAACAGCAGTGCGGCGGAACCAGGAGATAACGGTAACGAAGACGATGCCGTAGATTATGCCGCCATTGATGTTTCGGATGAGACAGTAGGAGATAATAAGAAAACCGCAGGCTGCGAGCCAGAAAGTGGGGCTCTGCATGCGGCCGTGGAGGCAGAGGAGATCGCCTGAAATGGTGGCGCCAGGGATGAGAGCAATGGTGCCGTTTGATAAAGTTTGTACAGCGGCTAGAGACGCGCGAGCGGAACTTGGGCAAGCGGCGAGGGTGAGGAGAGTAGAAGGGCTGAAACCGACGAGCCCGACGCCCTGATTGCTCTGTAATCCGATAAACGCGAGGAAAAGACCAATTCCGACGGAAGAGGAGGAACGAACGGGGTGGGGAATGAGACGAGCGAGACGAGAACGGAAGCCGAGAAGTGAGAGGAGAAGGAACAGAACACCCTCGAGAAACACGGCTGCCAGAGCGGAGCGGTAAGGGACATCGCCGGAGCCATGGAAGCCGACGACGGAGTAAGCAAAATAAGCATTTGTGCCCATTCCGGGAGCGAGAGCGAGAGGAAGATTGGCAAAGAAACCCATTAAAGCAGAGCCGATTATGGATGATGCGGCGGTGGCGACAATGAGGTCTCGCCGCGCGCGAAAGATGCAATTTTGGTAGCCGGGATCCATTGCCGGAGGGAATTTGCAGGAGATGGAGGGGTGAAGGCAATCGGATATGGAGCAGGTTGCACCGGAGTCGGAGATGATGGAGGCGTTGACGGCGAGGATGTACGCCATGGTGAGGAATGTAGCTGTGCCGGCGCGGAGCTCGGTGGTGAAGGTGGTGCCGCGTTCTGATAGCTTGAAGCGCCGGCCAATGGGGGAAGATGCCACCCTGGAGTTCAGATTGGACAGGCGGGAGGAGTGTGGTGGATCCATGATCGCCGCCGAGGGGAGAAGAGGAATTGGTTTCAGCATTATATAAAGATTGGTTTGGTGGAGGTTGGAGAATCATGGTGGGAAAAAAATATGTTTTTTTGTTTAATTATAAAATTGTGGACAAAATATATATTTGTATATTTTTTTATATAATTTTTAAATTCTTTAGTTTACTTAAAATAATTTAATTATAAATGTTTTCTATTGCATTAGTTTTTAAGTAAATTTAGTAATTTTAAAATTTGTTTATGAGAAAGTAAAATGGAGAGAGATTGTTGAATATTTGTTTTAAATGAATCCCGTGAAAAATTTTATTTCATCAAAAAAATAATTATTTTAACTAAACCATTAGCCAATAATAGCTAATAGTTCTACTTAATCCCATACCCATACACCTCACACAAAACAAATAAAATCTTAAGGATCATTATCTAATAATACAACTTTGCAAAAAACTTAGAAACTATTACTAGCACGAACAAAAGAGATATTCAAACAATCCTCTTGTAGCAACTGAGAAAACTCCAAAGTAAACTTGTCAGAAAAATCAATCACTTGAGAATCCAATCTTCTTCTCGCAGCTCAACTAGCGCACTGATTTCCTTCTAGATAAATAAACTACAACTGGACATGCACATTATTAAATAAAGCAATTTTTTTTTCATATGAATAATCAAATACTAAGGATACTCCTTTGTCACATTACAATAATTTCACTGCTCCACAGAATTCATTTTTATCACAATTTTATCTCAACCACATCTACCAACAAGGTTCAAAGCAGTAATCACCGCCTCAGTCTCTACAAAAATAGGAGCAAAAGCAATAACCGACGCAGAAAACCACAAACCCTAAACTCTAAAAATACTAAAAAATAAAAAAGACTTTTGTTTTAAAATTTGTTATGACTAGTATAGTTCTGTTTTTTTGAATGGTGGTTTTCTTAAGCATATTTGATTAAAAAGTATTCTTTCGCATATAAGTTAAAAAAATAATAATATTTATAATTAAAATATTTAAAAAGAAAATAGTAAAAAAACTGCCCAAATAGACTATAAATATTTTGCCGACCTAAGAAGAGGAACACGTAAAAAAACCGCCACATTGCTTAAATGGCTGTTTGCCAAATGCCCCAATTGAGGGCACAATTCTAATTAAAATACTTGTTTGACTTATTCAAGACTTTTTTGGCAGGAGAAGTCAGCAATGGCGGAAGTGCTGCTCGGCGGTGAAGTCAATTTTGCTTCCTTTTTTGTTTCTGAGTGGCGCATTGGTTGCTTCGCTCTAAGAAAAATATATAATATAAGAAATAGGTAAATTTACATACAAGCCCCACGCTTTTTATGCATTTACATAAATCTTATTTTTTGATATTTACCTTTTCGAAGGTTTACATACATACCGCATAATTCCTATATATGTGCATATCTAATACTTCAATTTTTAATTTTTACGTGTACACCAGTTTAAGGTTTTTAAAATCTAAATAGTGCTATTTTTATGCTATAAGAAAGATTTGGGACGTATAAATATAAAAAATAAAGTTTATATATTAGATATGTAAATATATAGGAAATGAGTGGTATGTTTATACATGCTCCAAGGGTTTTGATTTGATATTAATAATTTGAAATATAATACATTATGTATTAGATGTGTAAATAGATAAAAATAACCCCAAAAAAAATAAAATAAATTTGCATATCTAATACCTAAACTTACATATTCGTATTTATAACACTTTGGTGTGATATTTTTATATATAAAAAGATGCATTTCACTGTTTAAAAAATTATTAGTGTATACATCAGAAATATCACACGAATTTGAAGACTACTAGACGGCCAAAATAACAATTGAACGATCAAAGCATTCGACCAATCAACTGTCGATTACATGTTGACACACTATGACAAAGAGTTTGACCAGCAGACCATGACTGCAGCCCTGACCTCTCAAAGTGCGTACAGAAGCACCCGACCGCATTTGGACGACTGACCCATGGCGAGCGCAAGATCGTTATATGACCGAGCACCTCGACTGACGGACACATTTCGGAAGGCATAATCTCCACTCGATCGGTCGCCTCAATTAGCCAATCTCAAACAAGTCAGCCCAGCTAATTACCATCATATTAAAAATTCAAATTACAAATATGAAATAAAATTCGTATAATTAATTAGAGCATTAAGCATATTAAAAATGGTTTCCATAAATATTTCCTTCTTCATGTAATTGTACAAAATACACTCCTGTAAATAGGAGACAAAAATACGAATAAAGGGGACAAACTCGCTCTCCCCTCCGAATTCTCTCTACAACAAATTCTTAACCCGTTCTACTCACTTTTCTCTCATTCATGCGGCTCTAACTCTCGAGATTTGTTCACAAAAGAATCTAAGATCTAACATTCTAAAAGGTAGAGTGGTGAGCATGAAGATGCCCCAAAGAGAAGTGGAGCTAATTACGGCGGAGAAACTTCCCAAAGAGAGATAACACACATGAAACTTAACAAAGATGCTAAGCAACAGACGTCCATGCGCAGGGCTAGGGCTTACCAGCCCAAATGAACCTCATGATGGAACAGTTCGAGACCCTTCGGGCGGGAATCACCCAAAGAAACGATCAGCCTCCGTGTTTGGAGGCTTAACCTCAGGGCCACCGTCCTCATAGGCCCCCTTTGGTGAACCCACCTACTTTGAACAATCAGACCAACAATTAGAGGACGGAGGGACACGGTGAGTCCAAACACACCGACATAGCTGCGTCTGCATGTGCGAACATGCGATAGGAAGAACAGATGTGAGTTCCTGTCTGACCACTCACAGGAGGGGTTTTTACTCACCAAAGTAAAGAGGCAGTGCCACCACTCAAGCTAAGAATCCCTCACTTAGATTCTTACAAAGGGAGACACGAGCCTATCGACCATGTTGCGTTCTTCGAGTCTTCAATCAATCTACTCCAGATCAACGACCCCATTATATGTCGCCTCTTCTTGACCATCATGAAGGAATCAACCCTTTGATGCTTTAACGTCTACCAACCGAGATTGTCCCAGATTACTACAAATTTAAAAGACTCTTCATTTCACACTTCTCAATCATGCAGAAACAATTGAAAGACTTAGATACCTTGCTCGAAATCAAATAGGGAGAGGGTGAGAGCCTACGAGTCTACATCACCTGCTTCCAGAATGAGATACTGGAAGTGAGAAATCTGAAGCCCAAAGTAGCTGTAACAGCTTTGAAGCGAGGTATGACCTAAATTTTCTTAAACCTAATAATTTACAAAAGTATTGGAGATGGTGAACGAGCACATAATTGTTGACTTTGACCTCCATGGCTCTCCGAAGGGTAAGCTTAAATCGTCCGACCACCTGTGCATCAAGCAATGTTTCAACACGCCTAAAAGAGTCTCATATGGATATCTTGCACTGCGGGGATAAACACATGCATCAAACAATATTTCATAGTGCTTAAATGGACATCCTATACTCGCAACATCAAAAATTAATGCCAACACCCCAGCCTGGAAGAAGTTACCATAGACTTTGTGCATGATAAGATGCAAGAAGACTACCACACTATAATTATGTCCAAGATATTGATTTAAACAACCTTTCAAGACTGCAGTGAATATAACCTTCACAACAAAGAATGTTTCTGAAATGATCTTCAAGAGGTGCAAAAGATATTTCTTTGTCAGCTGGATGATATATATTATTGAAAAATGAACCAGAGTTTCGACATCTAATACTTGAAGATTATGTCGAATGGGACTGTGCCAAACTGTTGCGTGTTGGAAGGTCTGCGACAATAGAGTGATTATTTAGCATCTTAGCATTGTACGAAGATCCAACACAGACATGGATAAAAGTATAATGATAAGCAGAAGGAGACAACTCAATTTTTTACTTGGAAAACCCAGGAAAGGGGAAAAACAATGGGTTCTGGTCCAAATGAAATAATCTACTATATAATTGTGAGCACATGAGTCAACTTTTTGCATGAATTAGAGAAGATAGAAGTTACAAAGTTGTACACCAGTAGTTCATTGATAACAGTCGTAATCTGGTTGTAAAGAATGTAACTCTCAGTGATATCTAGCTAAAAGGGCCATAGTGAATTGGTATGTAGAATTAGTCTGACGTGAATGTTGCAGGCAGTGGTTATAGAAACAGCTTGCTGTGTAGGTCACAGTTGAAAGTCATGATAGTAGTCGACCATGTGAGTCGTAGATGGTTGCTTTAGGAGCACCAATTGGCCACAGAGGCTTTAGTAAAGAACTGCAGAGTTTGTGAGCCACGTATGTCGTAGTTGGTCACTTAGATCGTAGTGATGAACTACAATAACGTCCGTAGGCCAAAGAGGCCAAAGGTGGGAGTTGTATGAGTTGTGGGTCATTTAGGTTGTAGTTGGTCATATGGGTTGTAGCATATGTAGACAACAAAGGTCTGATTTGAGAGCTGCATGAACAGTGATAATGTTCGTAGGACATAAAGCTGAAGTTGGGAGCGACATTAGTTGTGATAACATCTGTAGGTCACACATGTCGGAGTTGGGAGCAGCATGACCAATGTTAATGTTCATAGGACGCAGAGTCCGGGCGGAGTAGGGAGTTGCGTAAGCCGAGGTAGTGTTTATAGGTTGTAGAGGGCGAAGTTGGTAGCAGCATGAGTTGAGGTAACGCTCATAAGCCACAAAAGCCAGAGTGGGAAGTTGCATGAGATGAGATAACGTCCATTGGTTGCAAAGACTGAAGTTAGGAGCCGCATGAGTTGTGATAACGTTTGCAGTCTTGAGAGGCTAGAGTGAGAAGCTACATGAGATGTCTTGGGAGTTGCACTAGTTGTGATAACATTCATAGGCCGCAGAGGCTAGATTTGGGTGTTGTGTTTGTTGGGGACTACATTGGTCATGGTTGGTCACATCAATCGTAATAGTTAGTCGTGACCACGATCGTAGGCCGCAGAAGCTAGAGCTGGGATTTGCATTGGTTGTGGAGTACGTATGTAGCAGTTGGTCATGAAGCATCTAATGATGAGTCACTATAATGTCTGCAAGCCACAGAGGCCAGAGGTGGGGGCTACACAACCTGTGAGTCATGTAAACCATGGTTGGTTACATAGGTCCTAGTAGTTTCAGCTGGTCGCCAAAACAAAAGTAAAAGTCACAGTTGTGATGAACACCATAAGTTGTAGACTAGAATGAGTAACTGTGAGAAGAGAACTTCATGAGTCTGGAGAGGGTTACTGTATGTTGGGTGCGTTGTTGCATCATCATTAAGGTGCGTTGTTACACCATCTTCGGGGTGAGTTGTTGTACAGTCTTCAGAGTACGTTGTTGCACCATCTTCAAGGTGCATTGGTACACCAGCTCGGGCCTTCCTCTGGTTCAAAGTCTAGCTCCCAGGTCTCCTTTCATGTTGAGGATAGAGCTCTATTTATAGTTTGATTGTGGCTTTTGTGCAAATAATAAAAGAATCTGAATTACTCCATTGAAGGACTCGAAGAAGTTTCATTTATCGAATGCCACTTTGAAATTTGATTGTCTTAGTGATGTCAAAATTAAGTGATACTGAGCTTGTTAGATTCTTCTTATAGTGAAACTTGATTTGAATATAAGCTTATCAGATTTAAAATTCATTTGATCCGCCATCTATGAACTAGAAGCTCAGAAAAATAATCTAACGGCTTAATGTGAGCTTTATTTGACATGAATTGGACCAATGTGGCGTTGTTCAACACTTCTCATCAAGCCGATTAGTTTGACTATAAATTTATTAAAATTAGAATTTTTGATAATTTTTAATCAAAGTTTGAACATGCATATTCGTGCGACACCTCAAAAATTATGTCAATATCAATGAGACACACACACACACACAACGGTCGATCACACACATACACATACAAATATAAGTAAAAAATTGGAAGGTGTTAAACACAAATGAATTGATCAGAAAATATGAAGAGTTGAATGATTCATTTAAAATAACTCTCTAAAAAGTTTGATTAAAACCATCACATAAAAGACGTATACAAACTTTAATCCAAGTCCACAATCCATCTATTATCATCCACATAAAAATTGACCATGGCCGAACAACAGTTCTTAATCGCTCACAGAACATAAACCATACCAACCTGAAGCAGGGAAGCCGGCGGAACTCGTAGCACCACCTCCGGCCCCCTACAGTTCCTCCTCAGAAAATTGTACCCCAAATCAATGGCCGCCTTCCTCCACAACGACGACCCCGCTTTCGCCCTAACATGCGAATGCCCCATTATAAATGCCGTCCCCGCCGCCTGTGCAGCGCGCAGTTCCTCCAGCTCCTCCCTCACCTTCTCCTCCACCTCCCCCCAATTGCACCCCCTCACTCTCTTCCCATACCCTCCAACCTCCCATTCGCTCCCACCCCCCATGCTCACCTCACTCTCAAAGTTTCGATGGTTGCCGATCACCGTCAGCCCTCCTCCCGACTCACTCGACGCGCGATCGCCGGCGTCGGACGACGGGTCGAGCTTTATGAAGTCAGCCAACCTCGCGATCAGCTCCGACTCGAACGAATCCATGTCCTGATGCACATCTCGGTACCCGTAACGAGCAATGCAGCGATACGAGCGGTGGCTCGGCGGTCCGATTCGGCCGACAAGAAACCTCTCGGCGGGAGGAACCTGCGGAACCGGGACCGATTTGATGCAGACGAAGACGAGAATGCGGTGGAATGCAGGGAGGTTGGTGACGAAGCGGGAGAAGTTGGCCGGTATGCCGGTGATGAGACCGGTGTAGACGAGGCCGATGCCGGGAACGCGGACGATGCCGAGCTTGTCGCCGAGGGTGAGAAGCCAGTCCAGGGAGACTTTGTTGTGGAGGTCATATTCGTGCTTCTTTATGGTGGCGTAGTGCCAGACGTACATGACGGCCATGAGGAAGAGAGCTAGGAGGATGGGGAGCCAGGCGCCCTCGAGGAATTTGATGAGGGAGGCGGAGAAGTAGAGGGCTTCGATGGAGCCGAAGAAGAGGAAGAAGGCGAGGGCGAGGAGTGGAGGTTTGTGCCAGCATAAGATCATTACCAGAGAAGTCAGGGATGTTGTGACTAACATCACTGTGATCACTGCTAGTCCTGTGGGAACGAAAATCAGTGAGTTCAATGATGAAGGAAGGAGAAGAACAGTTAAAATTTATGTATTTGCATTTCTACCATCTATACTTCCATTTTTCTGTGAATTTTAAAAAACTTTACTAGTTTAAAGAAAGGTGTAACATTAACGGTTATACCAGCTTTTACTAGTTAAAAAATTTTTAAAAAAAGGGATGATTTACATGCATAACACTCAATTCCTATGTATTTGCATATCTAACACTTTAATTTTTATGTATATAACTGTGTGTCATCCTACCTATGCATGGAAAGATGTATTTCATATTTTATAAGTTAAAGTAGTGATATTTTTTATTTGATGTGAAAGGTTTGGGTGGTATAAATTCAGGTGTTAGATATGTAAATACATAGGAATTGGGTGGAATGTATGTAAATACCCCATTTCAAAAATTGAGCTTGATAAAGATAGAATTTTTACTACTCTTTACATGAGATAATTTTTGCTTCGGAATTTATAAAAATGTCAATTTAGTAGTCCACAGACTCTTTAAATACGAGCTTCTCAAAGTAATATTTTTTCAGCCCTAATTTAAAAAGTCTGATGATCAAATTAATATTTTTATTGACTTTAGGAACAAAATGACCCCATGCAAACAGTCAGAAGAGTATTACACGAGAACACGTAACCTGATGCGTTGCCCATATGCTTTGTATTTCTGAAGCCGACGGCCACTGCGACGCAAAGGATCATCAGCATCCAGTTGATTTCTGGAATATAGATCTGGCCATGAATCTTGTCAGAAGTGTGAACTACCTTTACTCTTGGGAAGCAACCAAGAGACTGGCTTTGGTTTATGATGGAGAAAGTTCCACTGATAATTGCTTGGCTGCCTACCACTGAAGCTAATATTGCTGCTATAAGAACAGCCCACCTTACACTTTCTGCAAGGGCAAATGTCATAATTAAAAAAGTAGGAGGGGAAAAAAAAGGAATTAAATGTATTTACATATCTCTCAATTAAACTTTCACCTTTACATTCATAGCATTTTGATGTATTAAACGTATGCATGAAAAGGTGGAATTCACCATTATAAATGGTAATAATGCTATGTTTGATGTGACATTAAAAATTTGAGTGTTATGTGTGTAAATATGTAAGTTTAGATGGGAGATATGTAAATACATAAGAATTGTGTGCTGCGCATGTAAATTTCCCCTACAAAGAAATGTGAGAAAATATATGGAATCATTATTTGGTCCTTCATGGAAATATTGTGAAGGTTGGTTTAGAGTTTTATGATGCAAGCCCGATTGGAATCGAGAGGCAAACTTCAATAGTAGTCCAAATTTTGAAGTGGAAGTTGATTTAGGTTACAAGTTCTGATACCTCAACAAATGTCTAGGTAATACTAGCCTTCTTCTTCTTCTTCTTCTTCTTTTGTAGAAAGCAAAACAAAAGCTCGGCTCGACTCGTTTACACCCCTAAGTGCAGCTACAGTAGCGATAATGATTTGAGGAATTTGTAGAGCCACTCCCAGACACTAAACACTTCCTTTGCTCTTCCTAATACGGAGGAAGATCTCTTTTAAGTTGGTTTTTTAGCCACCTGATTATGTACTTTTGTCTTTCCAACCAGAGAAAGATAAATTCTAGCTAATGTCTTATTAGTTGACAGTCTTATCTCGCATGGAGAGCACAACTTGATAACCCTTGTGGTGCTCTGCGGGATATACCGAGCTTTCAGATCTATTTCAGAGTCATCCTCACTACTTTACCATGGCGTTACATATATGCTTGATTTCACTTGCATATTCGGGGAACATCAAGTTGTTTGGAGTGCCCATCATTTTTTTTTAGAAAAAGGCCACCCTACACTCATGTAACTTCCATAGGCGACTTCTATTTTGAAAAATAAATGGATGTGCATTTTCTTCTTCCCACACTTTTAGTGACTGAGATTTTCTTTAGCGCATCAAACGGATGTAGACAGTATTTTTTATCAGAAATGACCTGATTGATAGTATTGACAATTGAGGTGGATTTAGTCTACTTTTTAATGCGAAACATGGACTGCCAAGTATTTTATCAGCATCCGATTCAAATAGTTGTGCTTCTATTTTGGCTTATCAATAGTTCCAGAAGAATATCACACTCATAGTGTCGCTAGGCAACCACACATGACGGGTTACCCCTAGTTCTTAGAGTGGTTGATGTTATTCAGATAGGACATATTCTTTTGAAGATGACAATGTTTGCTGTTTCCATGATGTAACTCGCCTCTTAGGTTTGGTATTGGGTCAAGGTTCTGCATAAATGCACCTGACATCCCCTCAAGAGTTAGTTATAATCGACTAATCTTAGTTAGGCTATTATTTGGCACTTGAAGGTATGGGCGTCAAGTATAGTCATTGGGTGTCCCTAGAAGGCATAGACCGCAACGCTAGATAGATGTAGCATGTTTACTCTCTTCTTTTTTATAGTATTATTAATTACATTAATTTAATTGCTCGTTATTCTTGTCTATTATTTTATTGTCCTTGTGTATATTTTTTATATTTAAGTCACAAATCAGAGGAGCGATGAGCCTGCACAGGAGGAGTTACTCTTCCATCAGTCAGAGTACGAGTTAAGGAGTCATCTCCACGAAAAATTATTCCATACGGATCAGACACCGCACGCATCTTGCGTGCGGTGTCTATTTCACGTTGACCTTTTGATGTGAGAAGAGGTGGCCTCAACTCTCAGGATGTCAGTGGACTTGAGTTGACTCTTTTTGAGAACTTTGAAATAGGTTGAGCAGTTATTGTCCGATCCGGTTGTTGTTGACACAGGAGGTTCTTTTAGAGGCTCTTCCATATAGTTCCTTTTTCATCATTTTGACCAAGTGAGTCATCTACAGTGAGATCGCCACATATGGAGGAACACAACACGTCAGCATTAGTTCCGACAACTCTCGATTTGGCCACTAGATCTAGGACGCCTCTTCCAAGTAGCCCTCTGGTAAATATTGGAGGGTCAAAATTATTTCTTTTCATTCCAACATACATATTTTTATTATCATTAAGTTACAATACTTATATGTTTATTATTCATTGTTTTATCATCTTATGCAATAATTGAAGGAATTGATTATGACTCAAAAATTTGATGTCAGTATCCCTCACTCATTGAGCTTAGACACAAGAACATGCAGGAGTATAACCTAGCATTTTTGTGAAACTTGATTTTCGAATTGAATCAATGATCACTCTAGTTTTGGGACCATTTTATAGCTGACGCAAATGCCACATTAGACTTCTTGACACACTTTGGTTTAAACAATGGAGAGCTCGCGTACCAGGACACGATGTGATGGGAGACTAAGCTCTTGTTTTGTAGACTCAAGTCTCTCCCCATTATTCGGACCAATGCATCATTACCTGACCTTTATGAAGAGTTATGAGATATTATGAGGTAGCAAATGAAGCAAATGTTGAGTTTGATATGTGTTTTATAGCTCTTGGGAGGTCTAGGCCACATTTATTAACCGTTTTTAGTGAAATTATTAGTTTAATAGATCAGATAAAAAATCCCCCAAAGAAGCTCAGGGATATGATATCATATAAATCTAGCCTTCATAAATAGTTAGTTAGATAGACTCGGGTGATTTAGAGAGATGAGAGAGAACAGCAACAACTTCAAATCCGCCATCAGGCCATACTAGATGTTGAGTCTATCCTAATTTACGCAGGAAGGAGTTGCAGACTGCCGAAGCAAAGTACCCAACTCTTGTTGAGTTCATAGCACAACTTAGATATTTACAAACTCGTCTCCCATGATATGTTGTACTATTTTTCTTCTTCTTTTTATTTCAAGTATCGCTATTTTTCATTTTATCATTAAAAATCTTCATTTTATTTATTTATTTATTTTATTCAGACTCTGTTCTTCTATCTAAATAAAAAAGAAAAAATTAGCTTTTAAATCTAACAATAATATCAAATTTGAAATAACATCTCTTTAAGCAAAGATCCACTCTTTTGATTTTGCCTTGATTCTTAAATCAGTTAAGAAAATCTCAACTTATGATAGGAATTTCAAAATATAACCCTCCTCTATGTCACTACAGAGAGTGATAGAGTAATGATTATTCATATATTAATCAATCCAGGCTCCTCCATAAATCTCATGAGTTTGCGAGCATTAAATTGGTTTTGCAATGAGGAAAAATAGAAAACAATGGTTTCCTTCGTCCTGTCTCTTATATTTGGGAAGCTTTACACTGAAGCAAAGTTTTGCATGGTTGATGCAGATACATCATTCAAAGCTCTTCTAGAGCAACCCCGGCTTAGAATAGTGTCATCCATCATGCAACAGTGCAAAAAATATATGAGAGACGTGGAAGAGTTCAGGATCACAAATAATATACAAAAATTTTAGTCTAAGAAGTTAAAATTTATGAAGATACAAAACATTTCATTCTAAAAGAATCAAAACCACCACAGTCATTGAAACTCGACTCATCAACGCTAAAGGCTACAAAGGAGCCGAAAGAAAAAGATGCAAAATGAGGAATGAACAAAATGTCAATTACTTCTAAAATAAGAAGCACTCCACCAAGTGGCAGAGAGCCATTCGCCATTTGGGTAAGTGATACAGAGGATGGGAATGATGTCCCAACTCTATGTAAAAAGACATACAAACCATTGGCTACGGAGAAAGACAGAGCAGATTGCTCTTTGATTATGAGTTTAATACTACTTATGAAAGCAGAGTTGGAATGATCTCTTAGAGAAAGATGAATAATCTATCAATGTCAGAAGACTCATTCACGATCATGTCAACCTCTCCTCATCAATATAAGGAGGTTGCTTCCCATGTTCATAGTATTGATGAGCTGAAGACATTTTATGTGCCTCCTTTGTCTGAGAAGGTGGACCCGAAACTTTATTCTATAAATTTGAGAAGTAAATAGTTCTAATCAGCCCATTCAGTGTCTTGAATCTGAAGAGAAGATATCTCAAAAATGTTTATATATTATTCTCCAAAGATGCGAAAGATGATGAGGAAGTTCAGAATTCATATCGGTGTCGCCAAAACAACATTTAATATTTTGAGAGAGAATGGGGTAAGAAAGATTCATGGGTATGGCAAAAAAAAGGCATTTACATCATTAAAGGCATTGGGTTTGTTCAAACATAAATATCCCCAAAGAACAACTTGTTATAAAATAGTGGAGAAATATTTTGAAATCGAGAATGGAGATGAAGAGGTTGCAGGAGAAGAAAACTTCTCTGATGATTCGAATGTCGGAGTCAAACCTGCTCCAGAAGAGCTGGAAGACGGTGGATAGACTTCTACGATGGATGAGCTAAAAGAGATTAACTCAGAAGCTGAGGATGACTCTCGCCGAACCTTCATCTGTGCTCTCCTTCCAGAAGGCATATTTGAAGCAATGAAAACACAGTTATGTGGATTCAGGGGCTGTTTGGCCTGAACATGCTGAGATGTCAGACTTATCCCCTGATGTGACATTTCACATGCAAGCTATTAAATCAAATGCAACATTAGTTAAAGAGGCCCCTATCGGCACAAAAAAGGAGAAAGGAAGAGATTGTTTGGGGGGTCGCCCGTAAGAAGCTGTCGGCAGCCGGAATCGAAATCCCGTCGCCCGCTTCGGAATGACGTTTTAATTTACGTATATATATATATAATTTTAGAAAAATATGAAATCAAACTGACCTCATATTTTTTCACAGTTTAAATGAAAGAACACTCTACCTCAAATCTTGTATCTACCCCGAGGGATAAACACAAGACTTGAAGATGAGGCTCGATCAAATAAACTAGGAAAACATATGACATCCGTTTGGGTCTGCGAAATCGTTTTATTTGCCGACAAGTTCCCCTATTTAATACAAATAATTAAATAGGGTTTATTTTAAGCTGGGTT